GGGCCCCCGATGGCCTTCCTCCTCCTCCTCCTCCTCCTCCTCCTCCCCCTCCTCCTCCTCCTCCTCCTCCTCCTCCTCCTCCTCCTCCTCCTCCTCCTCCCCCTCCTCCCCCCTCCTCCTCGGGGGCGGCGGGGGACGGGGCCTCCAGGGCCTCCTATCGGGCCCGTTCCTCGACCCTCGATGCTCGGTCTTCGACCCTCGATCCCGGATCTCGAGATGCTCCGTCCTCCGATTCTCCTCGATCCGGGGGGCCCCCGAGCCTTCAGACCTGGGCCTCCCAGATGGGGCCGGAGGGTCGCGCCGCATCGCCGATGGTGCAGCCGAGGAGCGGGGCCGTATCGCCGCATCGCCGATGGCGCATCGCCGCATCGCCGATGGTGCATCGCCGATGGCGCATCGCCGATGGCGCATCGCCGATGGTGCATCGCCGATGGCGCCGCATCGCATCGCGCATCGCCGATGGCGCATCGCCGCATCGCCGATGGTGCAGCCGAGAAGGGGGGGCCGAGAAGTGGCGGGGAGCGTGGCCTCCTCCGCGTGTGGCCTTCCCCGGACAGCGGGTCCGGAGCGGAGCGGAGGAGCCCACAGAGATCAGGTCGGCAGCAAGGACTCCCTCCGGATGTCGAGGCCTCCCACACGGGGTCCGAGCAGCTGGGGTCGGCGGGTCGCGCAGCAGCGCCGAGCTAGGTGGCCGGTGGGTCGCGCAGCATCGCCGATGTGCCGCCGACGCGGCTCGGTGCGCAGCTCACACAAAGACGCTCGGCATCTGCGACTCCTATCGGGCCGGACGGAAGGGGGGGATTGGGAAAGGGGGGGGGTGCGAAATCTGCTGTGCGCAGCTGGTTTCGGCCCCACCGAGGGGCCCATTCCTCGATACATGGCTGCCTCCCGGCGCCGGGAGGCGCTCAAACCCCCCCTTTGCTATCCCTCCCTTTCGCCCGCCCCGATCCTACGAGTGGTGGTTAGCAGGGGAGCCCGCGCACGCATGCCACGTCTGTGAGGCCACGCGGCCTCCGCGCCATGCCCCGAGGGGCACGGGCGGGCTCCCTCGCGGAGCGCGGAAAGGCTCGGGCGCTCGACGGAGAGCGCGAGGCAGGGCCGAGAGGTCTGCGCCAGCCTCCCAGTGTTTGCGCTTCCGCCGCGTTTTGCCCCCCCCCCCACCCCCCCACCCCCCACCCCACCCACCCACCCCACCCCACCCACCCACCCCCACAGTCGCGGCCCTTGCCAGAGCCAGCAGAGTCCAGGCTGCGGGAGCGAGACATGCAGAGGACCACACCCCCAAGGAGAAGGGAGCCACGCTGCCCTCCTCACGCCCTCGGGACTCGCCGGGGAGCGGCGCCGAAGCAGCGACCAGAAGCAGTGCCTCCCTCCCTGCTTCCCCCAGCTGGCTGGCTGCCGGCGGTGCGCTCCGAGAGCCCACTCGCCTCGTGCTTTCACAGCCCCCCCCCTGGTGTCAAGAGAGGAAGAACCACCCGGACCCGATAACTGGCGTTTGCTAAACGGCCCTGGGCGTTTACTAAACAGCCCTGCCCTGCTCGATTCCTTCTCTGAAGGCGTTTACTAAACGGCCTCGCTTGTCGGGATGGTGATAATGGGGGGTGAATGTTTTGCCCTCTTTGATGGGTTCTTCCTCCGAGCCTTCCGCAGCAGCATGTGCGGCAGACACGGCTGGAGGCTCTCTGGAGCTCCGTCCCCGCTCCGCTGCCCCCAGCGGGCCCCGGCGCGTCGACACGAGAAGAAGCGCCCGATGGCGGCGGCTGCAGCGGCCGCCGTGCGTCGGCGGCGGTGCGGCTCGCACCGCGGACGATGCGCCACTCGCGCCGCGCCCCCCCGCAGCAGAGGGGGGGGCCTCCCGACGGCGCGCACAGAGGAGGAGGAGGAGGAGGAGGAGGAGGAGGAGGAGGAGGAGGAGGAGGAGGAGGAGGACGAGGACGAGGACGAGGAGGAGGAGGTGCGCGCACGCGCACGCGCACGCGCACGCGCACGCGCACGCGCACGAGCTCCTCCTCCTCCCAGGGCTCGACCTAGATTGAGCTCCTCCCAGGGCTCCTCCTAGACGGCGTGTTTGGCGATTTCGTGGACCGTTTTCGTTCTGAATTCGTTTCGCGGCAAATTCAGACGGAAGACAGACCGAAGGAAAACGATAACAAAACGAAAAAGAGAAACCATATTTAGCTCGAGCCATGTCTCCTCCCTGCTCCTCCCCAGGGGCGCCCTCGAGGGCGCGAAGTTACTCGCGCTTCGCAGTTCGGTTCCGATTCCCTCTCATCCTCCTCTTCTTCCCTGGGGGGCGGCGTAAGAGCGCGACATCATGCGCACTTCGAGCAGCCCGAAGCGCGAAGTTAGGCGCCGTTGCCTCCCTCCTCATCCCCAAAGTGGTGGCGTGCTTTTGGAGCTGGCTGTGAGTCTGAGGTGGCCCAGCCCTGGTTCCAGCGAGCAGGAAGGGGGGGCGAAGTTCGAGGTTGTGGATTCAAACAGGCTTTTTGCTTTTTTTCTGCCTCCGGGGGCCGTTTTCAGGCCCAGATGGACGCTGGGGGAGGGTCCAGGGACCGATTGTGATCGGATTTGACCTTTCCCTCCTTCTTGACCGACTTTCTCGGGGCCCATCCAATTCACACACCCCAAGCGCCTCCAACGTCTTGCTCCTCCTCCTTCTGCTCGTCCCCCACGTGGCGGCGCGCTGTACATTCAAGCGGTGGGCCGAGGTTTTTCACATCGGTGGCATGCGGTGTTCGTGAGGTTGTTCCTCCAGTTTGAGCGTTTCGTGTTCCTTATCGTCCTGCGCGTCTTCAAGGTCAGAGGGCGCTGCCAGCTGTTAAGATAACCACGTGATGGCGGAAATCCTGGAAATCCTCCTCGTCCGCCACCCAGACCCTTCCTCATCTTCCCTCGTCCTTCTTCTCAAAAAGGTGCCCTCCCTTCCAGAATCGCCCCCCCCTCCTCTGGCGCGCGTGCGCGACGGCGACGACGAACGACGACTAACGACCGACGACCGACGACGAACGAACGAACGAACGAACGAACGACGACGACGACGACGACGGCGACAGCGACAACGAGGACGACGACGACGACGACGACGACGACGAGACGACGACGACGAGACGACGACGACAACGACAACGAGACGCGACGACGAGACGACGACAACGATACGACGACGACGAGACGACGACGACGACGATGGCGGTGGCGGTGGACGACGACGCACGACGATGGACGACGACGGAAGACTGACGAACGACGACCAACGACGGACGACCGAAGACCGACAACCGACGACCACGACCACGACCACGACGCCGACGACGACCACGACGACCACGACCACGACCACGACCACGACCACGACCACGACCACGACCACCGACCACGACCACGAGAAGGACGACGACGACGACGACGACGACGACGGCGGCGGCGACGGCGACGGCGACGTCGACGGCGACGGCGACGGCGACGGCGACGGCGACGGCGACGGCGACGGCGACGGCGGTAGTGTCGGCGGCGGCGACGGCGACGGCGACGGCGACGGGGACGGTAACGGCGACGGCGATGCCGACGTCGGCGACGACGGCGACGGTGACGACGACGACCCCCCGCCGCGGCCAGCGGGCAGAGGCTGCCGCCGCGGCGGCAGCAGCAGTTCGTTCTCGCCATGGGAGGACCAGCCCACCCGCCCGCCGCTCCAAGCCAGCCGCTGGCCGCCAGCCGCCAGCGCCGCCGCAGTCGATGTTGTCGTCGTCCGTTCGTCGTCCGTCGTCCGGTCGTAGTCATCGTCGTCGTCGTTGTCGTTGTCACCGTCGTCGTGGTCGTGGTCGTGGTCGTTGTCGTGGCGTCGTCGGCGTCGTTGTCGTTGCCGTTGTCTTTGTGGCTTTTGTCGTCGTCGCTGTCGTTGTCGTCGTCGTTGTCGTCGTAGTTTTGAACGTCGTCGTTGTTGTCGTTGTCGTCCGTCGCCGTCGCCGTCGTCGTTGTCGTCGTCTTCGTCCTCCGTCCTCGTCGTCCGTCGTCCACATCGTCGTCCAAGTCGTCGTTGTCCATCGTCCGTCGTGCGTCGTCAGCCGTCGTCGTCGTCGTCGTCCTCGTCGTCGTCGCTATCGTCGTTGTCGCTGTTGTTGCCGTCGTCCGTCCTCCGTTGTCCGTCCTCCGTTGTCCGTCGTCCTTCGGTCGTCGTCGTCGTCGTCGCCGTCATCGTCGTCGTCACCGTCGGCGTCATCGTCGTTGGCGTCGTCGTCGTCATCGTCGTCGTCGCCGTCGTCGTTGTCATCGTCGTCGGCGTCGGAATCGTCGTCGTCGCCCTCACTCGCCATGAAGTGGCCCTCACATCCCCGCGTCGCGGAAAGATCACGGCGACAGTGTTTGGGCGATTTTCGGCCCTCGGGGTCCTCGCTGGGCCCCAGGGGCCGTCATAAAACGACTTGGGATGAGAGGTTGGTCTCGGTGAAGAGGTCCAGACCTTTGGGAAGCCGCGTTGCCAAAAAATCGCGACGTCGGATGTGTAATTGCCAGTAGAGCCTTCGAGGATGTCCACACAACGCGTTTGCACTATATCCGTTCTCCTCCATGTCCTCGTCGTCGTCGTTTTCATCCTCCCTCCTCGGATTCTTGGTGTCACTTCGTTGGTCGCACTGCCATGTGACCCCTTGCCCCACAGCGGTTAAGCTGCCCGTGGTGTCGCTCTCTTTCCCCGCCTGTGTCACACAGCATCTCTTACGCGCCGCTTGTGGAGGAAATCGCAGGGATGTCTGACTCTCCTTTCTTCTTCAAAGGACATGCCCACGTGACCGGGTCACCGAATGGGCCTCGCCTTTGAGGGATCGAGAGTTCAGCATCTCTTCCCTGGCGGAAGACCGGCGGAAGTAAAACAGGGACGCCTCCGCCGGCGGAAGAAAAATCGCCCCATCTGAGAAGTGCAAATTTGCTTAGATTCTAAGACAGCGTGGCATACACGTAGGAATTGAAGTAAGAGGGCATGTGTTCAGATATGTCATGCACACAGTGCACGTGCGCAGGCAGGCGAACACGCCGCAGAAAGATGGACACCCTCGCTGGCGATGACGATGACGATGTTGGCGCGACGACGGCAACTTGCGACGAAGGCGCTTCCTGGAAGCCGCGACGACAGAGGCGGTGTGGACGTTTCGTCGAGACAGGCCTGCCGGGGACGGCCGTGGCGTGCCTCGCCTCATGCTGTTCCGTCGCCACCTTGGCGCAAGCACTTCTGGACCCGGGGAGGGGGGGTGGTTTGGCAGGCTCGGAGCCGATAAGGCCACCATGGAGAGCTATCCGCAGCAGTTCGCTGGCACGCTGAAGCGTTTGACAGAGGAGGCGCGGGTTTGGACCGCGGCCCAGGTGGAGGGCAATGGCGACGCAGCCGACGAGGCCTTCGCAGCCATGGAGCAGATGAAGTCCGAGCTGGAGGGCCAGGGCGTCTTGGACGAGCATGCCTGCCAGCAGCTGCATGACATGGCCGTCAGCGCAGCTGCCGTCACGCTCTGTCGTGAGGCTGGGCTCGAGGGCCTGGAGGAGCGTGAGGAGGAGCTCGCTGCCGCGTGCGAGCCACAGCCAGAAGAGGTATCCGACGCCCTCTGGCGCAAGACGCGGGCCCTCTGCCTCGCCGCAGCGGGCGCGGCGTGCGCGGATGCGCAGGGCCACGCGGCCCAGGCGGCGAGGCAGAACCGCATGTACGACAAGCTTGCGCGACGCTGCGGTGGCCTCGGAACCGTTAGGGCTGTGGGCGCAGATGGCCTCGACCGTGACGAGTACGCCAGTCGGGCCGCGGACGTCATACCGGCCACGGTCATCATGTTCAGCGGATGCCAGGACTGCCAAACTTCCGCGGACGTTTACAACACCTCCTCATTTGGGCTTCCCGCGGACGCGGGCCCCGGTGGAGCAGGGGGCGCGTGCACCAGCTCCATGATCAAGGCCTTGAGCGAGGGGGGCGACTACACGTGGGTGTCGCTGCTGGGGCAGATGCGAGACATCTTGCGAGGAAGCTACACGCAGATTCCGATGCTGAGCAGCAGCCGCAGTATGGACCTGAACAGCCCCTTCAGCGTGGTCAATCCGGAACCCAGCGGGCGCTTCCGGGCCCTGCTCGTGGGCATCAACTACGTGGGCTCCAGTTGCGAGCTCCGCGGATGCCACCATGACGTCGACACCATGCAGCGGTATCTGAGGACGCAGGGCTACGAGGACGGCGACATGCGCGTGATGCTCGACGATGGCGAGCACGAGGAGCCCACCCTCGCCAACATGATCGAGGGCTTTCGGTGGCTGGCAGACGGCGCGGAGTCCGGCGACTCGCTGTTCTTCCACTACAGCGGCCACGGTGCCCAGACGAAGGACGACGACGGCGATGAGGACGACGGCAAAGACGAGTGCCTGTGCCCGGTCGACTTCCAGACCGCCGGGCTGCTGAGAGACGACATTGCGTTCCAGCACCTCGTCGCGCCCTTGCAGCGGGGCGTCTCCCTCACCTGCGTCATGGACTGCTGCCACAGCGGCTCCATTCTGGACCTGCCGTTTATGTTCAAGGCGGACGATGAAGGCATGGATGCCGCAGGCTCCGGCACGGCGGCCATGGCACCCAACCCCGATTTCGATTTCGGCAAGCTGGCGCAGGTCATCAAGGAGCACCCTGGAATGGCAGCCGGGGCGGCCTTCGTGGGGGCTTGCGTCTATTTCGCTGCCAGCCCAGATCAGAAGAAGGTGATACGTTCTAGCGTGATGAACGTCCTCGCCGCGGAAGACAAGGGGGCGGCGTTGATGGGTGCTGCTCAGGACGTATTGGGCTCGTTCTTTCAACGCTGACCACGGGAGGATGAGGCTTCGCTGACCAGGTTGCGCCCAGCCCCCTCGCGGCGGCACACGCGACAGCGGAGGACGAGACTCCCAGAGAAGTGAAGAGTTCGTCATCCACCTCAGCGCGAGCCACGCGAACTTTGATTGCTAGTGTGATGTTTGTTGCGCGTTCGTTCTCGTGTCTCTTGGGGACCCCCGAAGCCCGAAAAGAGCCAAACAAATCCAGAACCTCTGTCACCGATCCTTCAGTCGTGAGCTCGGAGGTTGATAGAACCCCACCTCGTCAAGTCGATTAATGAGCGAATTGCCCTTTTTTGGTTCTCGAGAGGGTGTTGTGCCCGCCATATATACATATATATATATATATACGTATATACTCGAGAGGACATTGGCGCCTCGCGCGATGGACCTTGGTCCTTGAAGTTTAGCATGCAGGCTGAAGGATAGGAAGGTAAACGCATATTATTTAGCGATAGCGTGTTGCTGCCTGTTTTCTGACGGCGCCGTTCTAAAAATGCGATATGTGATCTTTCCCTCATGTTTCCTCTGCCTCTTCCCCCTTCTCGCGCTACCATGCTAAATATTCCCTATCCTGCTCCTCAGCTCTTTTTGCGGAGGCTCCTCCTTGGAGAGCCGCTTGGGGCCCTCACGAAAGTTTTTGATGGCTTCGTGGAGCCTTCTGGAGGCCTCCTGGGCGCCTTCTGGGAGCATCCGGGGGCTTCCTCTGGCCATCCTGCTTCCAACCGCGGTCTCCCTGAACGACCGGGTCACGATTTGGAGTGTTTCAGAGGGCGTCTTGCGGCCATCTTGGGCCGTCATGGGGCTCTCTTCTGGCCATCTTGAGACCCTACTGGGCCGTTTTGAGGCTCTCTTGGACTGCCTGGAAGCGCACTTGGGCCATCGTGGGGCAATTTACAGGCCTCCTGGACGGTCTCGGACGCCTGGAAGGGAACAGAGCAGTCCCAAAATCATACAAAAACCCATTGGAAAGCCCCGCTGCGAGAAGGGGGACACGCAATGAAACGCTATGCGTCGCGATCAAAGCTTCAAAGTTTCTGACGTGCCTTTGGTGTCTTTGCGCCGTCTAAAGGCCTCTGAGGGGCGATTTGGGGGCTTCGAATCCATCAACTGGCTTGGAAAAATCGTGCATTTGTGCGTATCGCGGCCCTCTTGGTAGTTTCGTGGCCGGTGGAAGACGACGACGATGACTAAAGTCCGCTCGTTTTCGAGGTGGCTCGGGCGTTGTCTGGGCGCTTTCAGAGAGGATCTCGTGCCCGAGTGAGCGTTCGGGGGCCTCAATGTTCACGGCGCCGACTGGCCCACAGCTGGTTGAAGACGATGGGGCGAGCATGGAAGACAATGGCGACGTAGGAGGTGGAGCAGAATATGCAAAGCAGGGGACGAGCAGCAGCCGACTGATGCACGCTCGTTTTGGAGGTAGCCTGGGTGTTGTCTGGACGCTGTTACGGAGGGTCTCAGACTTGAGGGGGCGTTAGGGGGGCTTTGGCGCTCGCGGCGCCGACTGGCCGGCAGCTGGCCGAAGCGAGTAGAAATCAGTTGTCTCTGGGGGCGAAAGCGGCGGCCGCCCAATGAAACGGGGGCACGGACATGACCGCAAAGGGGGGTCGCGGTCATGCCGCCGAGGCCACCGCGCCACCGTGGCGGCACACCCATGATTCGGATCGTGAGTTCGCGGCGTCTCGGGCGCTCGTCGGGGCCTCGCGGCGCGTTTCTGCGGGGCTTGTTGGAAGCCTTGCATGGCTCGAGGACGTAGACGCGAAGCCTCCCGTGCACTTCGGGTTCGGCCCATTGGGAAGCTGCCTGGGAGTTGTTCGGCAACATGTTGGGGGTCTCTGAAAGCATTTTGGGCCTTCTTGGCGGTCCCTTCGGGGCTCGTTTGGGACCGTCCTGGGGCCCTCCTGGGCCGCCTTGGGTGGTTTGGGCCGTTTGGGGGCCCTCACGGGGCCCCCTTGGGCTGTCTTGAGAGCTTTTGTGGCCGTCCTGAGGCTCCGTTGGGGCCCTTCTGGAACCCTCTGGGGCCTGCCTTTGGTCGTCTTGGTTAGGCTTTCTTGGGCCGTTTTGGGGCCCTGTTGGGCCGTCTTGTGGCCATTGTTGGGGCTTAGTGGGTCGTTTCTAGGGGTGGCGGCCGAAGGTGCGAATATGCCAAAATCGTACGTTCCCCGTTGGGAATGCGACGATTCGTACCCTTTGGGGGTCCTTTGGGGGGAGGGGTGACCTTTTGGGCCGTTCTGAAAGCCTCTGCGGCCGTTTAAAAGCCGTCTTGGGCCGCCTTCGAGCGCTCTTGGGCCACTTTGGAGATACCTTAGGGCACCTTGGGAGCCTTTTGGGTCAGCTTGAGGGCCCTCTGGGCTGGTGTGGGAGACGTTTTCGGCTGTCCTGCAGCTCTTCCAACAGGCGCCCTGTGGCTGGGGAGTGCCGTCACAAGGTGTGGAGGGGAGGGAGGGGCCATCCGGGGGGGTCCATGCAGAACGCATCACGATTGGAATACATCCACCGCCTGCCGTGGTGCCCGAGCATCTCGATCCCGAGGCGGCGGTCATGGATAGAACCTTGCCTCGCTGATCGACGACCGACGATCGACGACGACGACGACGACGACGACGACGACGACGACGACCTGCCTGTTGCACCGTCGACGGCCGATGCCCCCCGCGCTGCGGAGGCCGTGCTGCCCAGAGGCGCCGGGCAGAGCGGCAGGCACCGCGGGAGCCGAGGCGGCGGCCGCCGCGCCCGGGCGTCGGGCGCCCAGGGGGCTCCCGCGCGAGCCCCGGCCGTGCGCCGGGGCGGCCCCTCGCCGCAGTGGCTCGGGGACCCCCCAAACGGGGTGGAGAAGGAGGAGGAGGAGGAGGAGGAGGAGGAGGAGGAGGAGGGGGAGGAGGAGCAGGAGCAGGAGGAGGAGGAGGAGGAGGAGGAAGAGGAAGAGGAGGTCCGTAGCCATTTTGGCTCAAGGCTAAACGTTGTGAAGGGCTATAAACGCCCGAGAATCAGCGATTAGCTTTGGCCCATCCGGGGCCATCTCTCAGGCCGCCGCAGGCCACGGCGTTCTCCACCCACCGCCCCTCCGTCGTTTTGGGCGCCTTCGGCTACCAGCGTAGCCAGAGCGAACGATGGTTGGTGCAAACAATGGTGGACTTCTTGTTCTGCTCGAGGCAGCGCCGACGTTTCCGTCCCAGGAAGTGGTCGCAGGTGCCGCAGCTGCTGCTCAAACTCAGGGACATGGTGGTCGTGTTCGCCCTGGTACTGGTGGTTCTGGCACTCCTCAGCGCGGCCGTGGGGGCCAACGTGACGACGACAGGAGCCGCTCACAATCCTTCGAAGATGCCATGGAGACAGATGACCTCAAGCAGTACGTGGACGACACAAAGAAGGAGCTTCTGCAGGCCATATCCGCGATTTCCACCAACGTCGGTTCCCTTGGCAAGCTGGTCAACGACTCGGTCGGTGGCCTCAGCAGGCAAGTGGAAGCACGCATATGTCAGGACTCGAACGCACACAACGTGAACAGAAAGACGAGATGGCACGTATGTCGGCAAAGATTACCCGCCTGGAAGAAATTCTGGGGATCATGCAGAAGGAGGTGCCACAGGCGGTGGCGGACCCATGAGCGAACGATTGCGATCGCCAGCCAGACCCCGCAATTCTCGTCATCAGGTGCAAAAGTTACTCGACCAAGGAGTCCGTCGCAGACTCCGTGGTCAAACCTATCATTGAGAAGAACAATATTCCTCGCAGTGAAGTGCAATTTGAAGGAGACCCAGCGGGGAAGAGATTCGTGCTCCGCATCAAGGGTTCTCCAGCGCATGCTGCCCGCCGAGCGGGACATATTATCGGCAGTTTCAAGATTAGCGCGCAAGAGTGGCAACGATTCAGTGCGATGGATTCACAGAACACCCCATCGGAGGTCTTCGTATCAGTGGACAAGTCGCAGGCCCAAGTCAAGCGCGAGATCGTCGCAAAACAGCTCAAACGGGTCCTTTCCGAACTATATCCGCAGCATCACTTCCACATCAACAAGGCGAAGGGCGAGGTCAGCCTGCAATGGAAGCCCCTGCTCCGAGGCGTTCCAGCTCAGGGCAACGAGGTCCCGACGATCGAGTACGCCGACGCCAACTTGCTGCACTTCAACTTCAGTCGTACTGACATCGAGGCCAAGGTGGCGCAGATTGTGCGACCACCTGAGCCAGTCTCGTGGCGGGTTTAACCCGCTCTTTTCGGCATGGAGCAGCTCCTCTTCCTCGGCCTCCCCCCTCTCGTTCTGTTCCTGGAATGCCCAAGCTCTGTTCCACCATAAGCAGAAGATCAAGGACCGCAAAATCCGCTACGTCAAGTCTCTCCTGGGACCTGGTACCATCTTGGGGATTCGGGAGTCTCACGGGTCAGAGGCTGAAATCCAGGACATGCTGTTCCACATGCATCGCCCGTTCCAGGCGTTCTTCTCTCTCTCTCCTGTCTCTGCTCATCCAGCTGGCGGGGTGATTACCATCTTGCCTGATTTCAACAAGACTCACGGTGCTGCGAGGCGCCCAGTGGTCACTCCGATTGAGCTTGTCAGGGGCCGTGCGGTGAATGTTCGAGCTTTGTTCCCAAATGGTGTTTGGATTTCACATTTCAACATTCACAATCACGGATTGACGTCGGCTCAGAGAAACCTCATCTTAGAGACTATCAACAAGGACTACAACAAGGCCTCGGAGGACCCCCTGAAAGGCTTCATCCTCGTAGGTGGCGACTTCAATTTCTCGGACGAGCCCCCGAAGGCGCTAGATGACCTCTCCCTCTCCAAGCTTGGTATTGCCCTCTCTCAGGACCCAGAGGAGATCCCCCCCCCCCCTGGACCCCGATAAGCACTCATCCCAGCCCATCCGCTCTGGAGGCCCCTGGAAGGCCACCCTCAAGAAGCTCGTCGAAATCGATCCTGGAGACCCGACTCATTTCTGCGCCGCACGGGGGACTCTCGGGAAACTGGATAGGTTATTCGTGTCTGCGCCAGGTTGGTGCATCACTCAGATGTGCACAGGTGCTCGAGTCCACGGGTGCCCCGAGGTGCTTGCTAAGACTAAGCTGTCCGACCACGCTGCGATCAGCGCGATCCTCGCACCTCGCTCGCAGACGCCGCCTAAGGATCGACGAATCCATCAAGCTATATTCAAGCGGCGCGAGTACCAGCAATTTATTGAGTCCGTGCTGGCACAGATAGACGATAGCGT